ACTTTAAAACTGCCCGTGAGATATTTCCTACTAATACAAGACATGGTAAAAGGTTAGTCATTGATACAATCCCGAAAAGCACACGTTTTAAAAAGAACTGTTACTATATGTGCATTCAATTTTTTAATATTCCACATTCAATAAGAGATTTGCCTTTCAGTAGATTTAAAATAACACTACATAGATGGCTCATTGAACGTAAATTCTACTCGGTCCAGGAATTCTTGAATTATGATAGCTAATATATAAATAATAGTAATTTTGGTGGATGAGATTTTGAGTGACATATACTGATTTAATTATATTTTTGATTCACAATTTAATAGGACCTGATTTTAATCGAATTTTTATATTTTTGACTATTTATTTTGTGACCTGTTAAGTAATTTTTATTCAATCATGTGACATAGTATTAATTAATTTGATAAAAAACTGATGTAAATTTGCATGCTACGTTCTATAGCTGAATAGGTGAAACCTACAGTATAGTTATGTGTAACTATTTATGACCTTGATTACCCTGTTCAAACGCAAATAAATAATTATTCTATTCTATTCTATTCCGAGCAACTGACACCCAAGGCCGCACGATTGTATTTTCTTGCACGGGACCTAATAAAATCAACGGAGTTTACCTTTTGCTGGACGGCGTACGGAAACGTCTATGTTAGAAAGGACGAGAACTCCCCAATCATAACCATTACTAACGAATCTCAAATTAAACAGCTATTTAAAATTGTATGACTAGATATTATGCATGTGCTCGTAGCCTTTAGAATAAATGTCCTTATCTTTATCTTTATATATTATCTTTATACTGGTATTTCTGAATCATGGACATACATTATGTAACTCTTCAAGCAATCACAACATACACACACTCGCTACCTTTTCCAATACAATCACAACCACATACACACACTACCAATTCATAAGCACAACACTAAGAATCTACACCAACTATCACTTAAATACAATAGACCTATACAATAAAAATAACAAACTCATAAATTTTACTCCTCACTCTAAACGCTTTTGTTTACTTTTGCTGCATATGACCACTTGCTCTCAAGATGATTTTCAGCCTGAAACACTAATAATAAATGGCAGATAACCTTAGAAACATAAATGAATTGGATGATTTCGCGGTTGCTAAGTCCGTATCATGTGACATAGTAGACTTAAGCAAGCATATAAAATTAAACAAAAATGATCTAACATTAATTCAACAAAATATCAGAAGTATTTACTGCAACTTTGATAACTTTGAGGCTACCCTGTCTAACCTTAGTTCAGATATTGACGTTAAAATACTCACTGAATGTCGCCTCAACACAAACAAACCCATCCCCACCATAAGTAACTATATTCAATATGCTACCGCTTACAATAGTAACCAAAATGATGGTGTGGTTATTTACGCAAAATCCAAGTTGAATCCAGTTTTTAAGGAACATGTCCTGGAAAACGCATCGTGCATACAATTAGATATAAGTGAGTGTACTATATTACGTATATACCGATCACCTTCTCATCAGAATGCACCTAACTTTATTATGTCTCTGAATGGTGTATTAAACACGATTAAGCGCAATCGAAATATAATAATATGTGGTGACATAAATATTAACTTAATTGTAAAAGAGAATGAATCATCATATGATCGTAACAACCGGGATTCTTACCTTAACATGCTATCCTCACATGGTCTTTTACCTGGGCACGTAATTCCTAAGCGAGAAAACAGCTGTCTTGACCATTTCATTTTAAAGCTTGATAATACTAGACTATTAAAGGAACTACTAGTAACAGACCACGACTCGGTATTTATGAGCATCTCAAAAATAAAAGCTAATTTCCATTTTCCAACTATCAGGACATATATTGACTTTGAAGAAGCTGCACAAAAACTTTTAAATAAACACTTATCCAGTTTGTTACTTTGTGACGACCCTAACTTTGTGATACAACAACTAATTAACAAACTTATATCATCCCTGGATGAGAGTGTTAAGACTAAGATGCTATCAAATAAACAACGTATTAAGCCCTGGATCACCAGTGGTATATTACGCTATATTAGAAACAGAATGCAACTAAAGTTAAGATCTGATTCGTATAACGTAATCTTAAAAATAACATTTACTAGATACCGTAATTATTGTAATAAATTAATTAAAAAACTTAAACGTAAATATGAATCTGAACTACTAGAAACTAATGTTAAAAACAGATTTCCATAGAGCTTTACTCTATGGAAATCTGTCAAACAAATAACGCACCTTAATACAACTAAAACTAGAAACTATGAATTACTCTGTACTCGAAGTTCTCCTACAGAATCAGTTAATTATGTAAATAATTTTTTCGCCAATATTGGCAAAAAACTTGCAGAAAATATCCTTAGCCGGTCCTCACAGCCTCCCGAAAATTTAATACCCACTCCGAAAGTACAACTATCTTCTTTTGTTCTTCTGGATACTGATCCTGGGGAAGTTGACAGTATTATCACAAACTTGAAACTGACAGTGCTGCCGGTTGGGATGGTATTCAAACTAAATTCATCAAAATGATTAAATCCCTCGTAGTTCCCACTATTAGTCATTTTGCCAATCTTTGCTTTAAAAAGGTATATTTCCAACCTTGCTTAAAAAATCTATCATTACTCCAGTTTACAAGGGTGGTGATAAAAGAGATGTTAAATTATCGACCTATATCAGTCTTGTCAGTCATCTCTAAGGTTATTACAAAACTAATAAATTCACGACTTATAACATATCTCGAAAATTTTAATATTTTATCCAGTTCACAATACGGATTTAGAAAAGCAAAAACTACAGAAGACGCTATTACAGGATTATCCTCGTTAGTAACACAGTACTTAGATCATGGAGAGAAGTGTCTGTCTGTCTTCTTAGACTTAAAAAAAGCTTTCGACACGGTTTCTGTCCCCACCCTTGTCAAAAAGTTCGAAAATATCGGCATTAGGGGTATGCCACTAAAACTTCTAACTGACTACCTGAAAGACCGGTCCCAATGTGTTAAAATTGACAACTATACTAGTTCGGACACTAAAATTGAGTACGGTGTGCCGCATGGCAGTGTTCTAGGCCCTACATTATTCTTGATATATATTAACGAACTTACTGATCTTGAGATTGAGAGGGGGCGTGTATTTTCTTATGCGGATGATACAGCCATAGTATTTAGTGGCACTTCCTGGAAGTCCGTTTTTGAGACTGCGGAGCGTGGTCTCCATAAGGTGGCTAGCTGGCTCTAATCCGCCCTTCTTACCCTAAACATCGCCAAAACCAATTTCATTTGCTTTGCAATTAATAGGCGTACACTTCCCCCTTCAAACACCATGTTAAGGATCCATACTTGTGACATCAGTAACACTAAACAATGTAGATGTGAAGAGATCAATTATGTTAAATCCACGAAATACCCCGGGGTAATTCTGGACCCCCGGCTATCCTGGCACCCTCAAATTGACGCTATTAATGGGAGAATCCGTAAACTTATATGGGTCTTTAAAAAGTTAAAACATGTCACTTCGCAGGACCTTTTGAAGCGAATTTACATTGCACTGGCACAATCAGTTATGAGTTATTGCATTCCCATTTGGGGGGGTGCCACTAAAATTAGATTCCTAGAGACAGAAAGAGTCCAGAGATGCTTGCTTAAGACAATGTTCATTAAGACATTTAGATTTCCTACTGACGAACTATATTCAAATTATAAAATATTGACACTTAGAAAACTATATATTATCAACTCAGTACTTAAACTGCACAAGACCTTACCATATCTTCACATAGCCCAAACAGGTAGAAGGAAACGTAAAGTGGCCCCTACTCTTCCTTGTAGAACTCTTTTTGCAAAACGTCAATTTCAAGCCCACTACCTGCCTACCTTTATAATAAGCTTCACGTCAAATATTCGATACACAACCTTAAATTCTGTGAATGTAAAAAAACAATAATCCAAGAACTCGAGACGCTTGGGTACAATGACATAGAGGACTTGTTATTTAAATAGGATTCCTATTCAGTAAAATTAATTCTAGTGGTACTTATCGATCCTAAGATAATATATCGTAGGGCTAGAGGAGAGATAGAATATCCTATCATATAGGTTCTACACACACGTGCACATACAGACACACACACGCACACGCTCACGCACACGCACACACACACACACACATACCAGTATTTAGTTTAATTTTATCCTTTAAAAGAAAAAGTTATTTGTAATTATTTAAAGTTAAATGGAGTAGTTATTTAGTTACCTTAATGTATACCTAATATGTATGAGATCCTAGTGAGGAGCAGAACCGCCCAACACAAGCATCACTACATGCTTCCTGGGTAGTTCTGGCCACAGAATATTATTGTGAAATAAGGTTAACGAAATAAACTATTTTTATTTATTTTTATTTTATTTATGACAAAAATATCAATCCTATTACTTATAATGAGAATGATGTTGTTTTACTGAAATCGAGTTATATCCGATTTATCACCTAATGTGAAAATTGTTAAAGACAATAAAGAAATTATTGTTCATAAAAATAGGACAAAACAAAATATATTGTATGTTGTTGGTAATATAAAAAAAAAAGTTTCTAATTTTTTTTTCATTTGTGGGGGAAGATGTAGTGTATAATAAGTGTATTTAGCAAGTAAGCAATATTGATTTATATTAAGTAACGCGCATGAGTCGCGACGGCATTAATAATTAAGACATAGAATAGTAAATATGTAATCTTAAAGGAATAAATAAATAGTTTTATTAGTTTCATAACTGTTTAAATCAACGGCTCCTAAGACAACCGTGGACCCTACAATGTGGACTGACAATCTGGTAAAAGTTGCGGGAAGCCGCTAGATGCGGGCAGCGCAGGACCGATCGGTTTGGAATTACTTGAGGGAGGCCTATATTCAGCATTGGGCGTCTATCGGCTGATATGATGATGATGAATTAAAAACACTAACCAGTGGGTGCTGGAGCGGGAGTGGCGGGCGCGGCGATGCTAGTGACGCTGGTGGCGACGGAACTTGCTGCGGACACGGTGGCCGCACTGGCAGAACTGGTACCGCTCGGCTGCTCTATGCGGGGCATCACAAGTGCCACGGCCTACGCAAATTAGTTATATTAGGTTGAGTAAGCAGAAAACACTTATATAACAGCGGATTCCAAGCGGGGATTTTGGGATTTACAGAAGCACGGCAGAATATCATTTCACCAACCTTCCACTTTATAAAGTACTGCCACTATACCCGAACCCTTTTATATGGGGTCGAACGTCAAGGGCATCAAAAAACCCGTCAGTCCTTTGGATTGTAGCTTCTATTCAAAAGACATACGATTTGGACACGAACAAAAGTAAAGGCCGTTTGTTGATTTTTTTTGCTGCCCTAGATTCGGGTACGGCTCTTTTTTTTGACACAGGCAAATCTCTTTTTACAGACGACGGTGCCTTTAAGAGGCACACTGCCGAATAGACCTCACACCTGGCTCCCGCAAGCCTTACGGGCGCTTCACGACATAATATCCGCTAAAAAACCCTACGCTGCTATGTGCTATACCGCGGGAACCCCGTTTAGGGATTCTGCGGCGTCTAGTCGTTCGGCCTAGACGCCGCAGCAAAAGCTCAGGTATGACGGAAGTACTTCATATGGTGCAAGGTTGCTCCCTTTATGTTATTCTGTCACGCTCGAGTAAACCCCAATATCGACACATGGGCTATGAAATACTTTTTAATTTTCAATTGGTCCTACACCTTAGATGCACACCGCGCGAGCGACAGTAGGAGTAATAATTATCTTCTATTTCAATCATTATTCGCAGGGAATGCCGCCTAACTTGTGCATGCGGAGCCCTGCCACTACTCTTGAAATGGTGTTGCAACTGCTCCGCAACCTACATCATAGCATCAGTGATGCTACTTTCCTTCCGCAATACGGCATTGCAACCGTCAGTTCACATCTTAGACAACCATATACATATACATTGGTCTTAATGTAATGTAATACAGCAGAGACATAGCATAGAGCAACTCAATTAATAGCGAAAACGAAGCGATGGTGTGACGGAACTTGCTGCGGACACAGTGGCCGCGCTTGCGGAACTGGTGCCGCTCGGTCGCTATATGCGGGGCATCACCAGTGTAGCATTGGTGAAGCCTGTTTATAGTGCGACAAGGATCTTTATGAATGTGGCAAAAATTCGAAGTAACACCGTCGTCTTTGTAAACGTCATAATTTGTATTTCATTTACGTAGGCAGTTGCGCCTTCCCTAAGCTGTCACTCACAATCAAAGATCCTTGTAATACTGTTCATTGGTTATGTGATATTGACAGCTCTCTAGAAAGGTAGAAAGCGATGATGCAGCCAATACTATATAATAATACGACCTACTTGCCCCACCATCACTACGACTCACTCACACTTATTTGTCTAGTTTTACTTTACAGTTGAGCAAGAAGCTCTCTCCGTGTCTATGGAGAATGGAAAATCTCATTACTAAAGAGTTCAGATGCTTTTGAACAATATCCAGCTCAGTTCATTCTCCATATCAACATCAAATTAAATCAAAGTTAAATTACTACTTGAAGACTGCCTGACCTCAGCAATGAAATGACTAAACGAGAGGCTGTATTTGGCTTAGTATAATACCTTGCCAATGGGAGAAATGAACTAAGAACATGTCACTATGGTAACTTATGATAATAATTGGTAAATTTTGTATGTTACTTTTATACCATGAATTAAATTCCAGACTTTACAAGTCTTCCTATTTTTTCCTGTAATTTCAACAAATATTTCGCCTTTGCCATTAATTTTACTCTACTTAGAAACGCTATATGATTATTAAAGTTAACCTGTTGTGGCGCTTGTGAAATTGACGACGGCTGGGTGCTGCTGTCACTGGCTCCTGAACTACCCATACCGGCTTCGCTTGTCTCCATATCCTAACAAACAAACAATGACCTTAGTACCACATAAACGAAACCCTGTTTAAATATATTTTTTTACTGGTCTTTCTCAATTATAATGTCATCACTTTAAAATATGACTTTGAAAAAAAAAGTGAAATCGGTTCTGGGGCCCAATTCTCGCGGCATAGATATTATATCACCTTCGATATATATCGAATGCTCTGGCTTTTATCGAAGGAAAACCTTTTTGCCATATTCTCACCATGTCGCAATAGATATTTATCTACGGATGATCAGTAGACATACATCGACTGGTAAAGAGCTTTCGATATATAAATATCTATGGATCTTGGCATGTCAATCTTGTTATTTCCACTTTTTTTACCTATTATTTATTGTGTTGTCGTGTGTCATTGACAATTATTGTTACCTCAAGATGTTGTTAACTGCCTTCATAAATAATTAGTAAATAAAGAAGTAGGTAAACAATGGTGTCGATTCTGACGTGATTCTCTAAACTTAATCCTAAATTTAACATCAGTCTCTCTTTTTCATTCTGTATAGAGAATGACAAGGAAACACTGTTGTCAAGTTTAAGTTTAGATTTAGAGAATCGTGCCAGAATCGACACCAGTTTATATTAACGATGGATGAGTTGATTCATGTTTTCGTCAATGATTTAATAAATGACGTGATTGCTGCTGCTGTGCTAAGGCGCCGCCGTTGTGAGAGCAAGAGGGCCTATTTGAAATGAGGGACGCCGACTTCATAAAAAAATTACGTTTAAACAAAAATTTGGTTAGAAATCTATAAAGTTATGAATGACATTGGTATCGATTCTGACACGATTCTCTAAACTTAAAACTAAATTTAACATCAGTCTCTCCTTTTCATTCTGTATGGCGAATGACAAGGATACACTGTTCATTGTAAAATTTACGTTTAGGTTTAGAGAATCATGCCAGAATCGACACCATTTTGTTATTGATGATACGGAGTTTTTGGCGGGATTTCTGCGAGTGCGGTTGGCTTCTTATTTTAATTATTCTAAAATTCGTTCATAGTGGATATCTATACTTATAATAAATCTGTAGAGAGGTCAATTCTGTACATGAAATATATTTTCAAAATAACTATCAGGGGGTGATTAGTGATCGATACTGATGCCAAAAATGCAATCAGTAAAATTTTTGTCTGTCTGTCTGTCTGTCTGTGTGTATGTTCCTTATAGAAACAAAAACTACTCGACGGATTTTAACGAAACTTAGTACAATTATTCTTCATACTCCTGGGCAGGTTATAGTATACTTTTCATCACGCTACAATCAATAGCAGCAGAGTAGTGAAGGGAAATGTTGGGAAAACGGGAGAAGTGACTCCATTTTTTAAGCTTCCGTTGCGTGTGCAGCCTTAATGGTTAAAGTTACATAGAAATCATGTATAACGGAAATATTCTACATAAAATTGTCTAAAAATATCCCGCAACAGCTTATGTGTATCTTTTATGGTTGACTCACAATAACACGTGTAATTATATAAATAAAGTCATTGTTTATAGCACAAGCCTGAGAACAAAAACTATAGTTTACACTACAGCTCTACACCGAAGCGAAGCGAGGGCGGGCCACTAGTTGTGAAATAAAATTGGTGTGATTTGGTGTTACAACCGTCTGCGCAACTGAAGAATTAGTGGAATCTTTAATATATACGCTATTCCATTCAAGTGGACGCGAGAACTTTATTGTAGTGTTGACTACCTCACAGAAGCTTAGAGAAAAGGCCAACTCCATAAATTTCGTGCCAAACACTCCAAGAAACATTAGAATGCGTCACACCGACATTCTAATGTAAAAAAAATAAGATTAATATAACTAAAGACTAGGCTGTATGGGCATTGTTCCCTTTGCCTTCCCTTCCTTTAGGTTTCGAGAATCTTGTCAGAAGCGACACCATTATCCAATTAAAATAAATGTTTATGTTAAAAAATATATTAAATCATTATAGCTCGTAGCAAGTGCTTAAACAGACCGATAACATTATTAGGTGACAAGTATGTTTACACATACGACGAGAATGACACAGACACACGCCTCGATATATTCGATTAATAAAATGCAAAAGTAGTTCGAAAGGATATGGAACAGAGAACCCCTAGTTTAGCAATAATCTAACTAAAATGACTGAACAGATTTCTTTATATAAAAAAAATTAGCAGTGCGCTCAAATAAAAAGAAATAAAATTCTAAAATGAACTCGAAAACTTACATTATCTATAGGTTTATCATCGTAATTTGCTCAGACAAATAATTTGTTTACGAATACAAAGATTTGGATCATAGAACAAGATATCGGGTACCACGCCATAATGATAATAAAAATTAATTGGACGTCTGTTCTTGTATCTTAGGGATCAGGCGCGTTGGTTCGTTATTTTTAACTTCTTCACACATTTTCATAATAGTAGGGGAGCCCACGATGCTAAATAGGGATTTACTCGAGCATCGTTGGGACCTACAGGATTGTGTAGGTTAGATGCTAAAAAGAAGAAAAAGCGGGCAATTGCGAGTCGGACTCGCCCATGAAAGGTTCCATAACAGCAAGTAACATAATATAAAAGTTCTTATTAGTTCGTGTAACTTTGATCGATGTTTTAATAATAGTGTATTTTATTTTTTATATTTGAGTTGATCAAAATGAAAGGTAAATTACAGTTTACGATTTACGACGTATTAAAAAAAACTTCTTACTAGATCTCGTTAAACATATTTTCGATGGAAGTTTGCATGGTTTTGGACGGTATGCGTGACTACTTTGCGTCCGTCCCTTGGAAGCAGCGCTGCTTCAGTGACAGGGACCTATCGGCCAGTGCCGTTGCCATTATTGAGGAGATTATAATGGGTATGGAATACTATATTCCTCATTCTGAGCTCATCAGTAAGGGCACGCGTAACCTCTGGTTCAATCACGACTGTGCTGAAGCTGCTTCGCGTAAGCAAGCGGCATATCGTGCTTGGATCAGAGGTCGCGACCCTTGAGAGGATCCCGAGGTCGATTTACTCAAAGCAGCCTACAATTTTGCTTCCAAGGCCTGTAAGAAGGCTTACATTAGAGCGGATGCCCAGCGCGTTGCACGTGTTGGCCAGGAACTTATGACGCATCCTACGGGCTCCCGTAGCTACTGGCGTCTGGCCAAGTCACTCGACGTCCGGAAAGCTAGTGGACCTGATGGCATCCCAGCAGTAGTACTCAAAAAATGTGCAGCGGAGTTGTCTCCCGTGCTCACGCGCTTGTACCAATGCTCGTATTCTTTGGGGCGTGTGCCGGAGACTTGGAGAGATGCTAATGTGCAACCGGTGCCCAAAAAAGGGGATCGCTCAGACCCGACAAACTACCGGCCAATAGCAGTCACCTCAGTTTTATGTAAAGTTTTAGAAAAGGTCCTTAATAACCATCTGACCCGCTACCTAGAGGATCACTCCTTGATTAATGATCGTCAATATGGTGTTAGACCGAAACGATCGACGGGTGATCTTCTAGCGTACTTAACTCATATCTGGGGTGAGGCTATCGACAAGCGTGGCGAGTCGTTGGCTATCAGCCTTGACATTGCCAAGGCGTTCGACAGGGTATGGCACAAAAGCCTTCTATCCAAGCTTCCGGCATACGGTCTGCCAGCCCAGTTCTGTTCTTGGGTGGCTGACTTCCTGCATGAGCGTAGAATTCGTGTCCTTACGGATGGTAGCAGTTCGCGGTTCATGTCAGTGAATGCCGGCGTTCCCCAGGGCTCCGTCCTATCCCCCACTCTCTTTCTGCTGCATATCAATGACTTAATTCCTCTTGGGAATATTCATTGCTATGCAGACGATAGTACAGTGCATGCGGGGTATCTCGGACAAGCAGCGGCTGGGCTGGCGGTAACCAAGGAGAAACGCGAGAATCTTGTCATTGAACTCAATCAGGCTTTGGACCACATTTCCAAATGGGGTACCAGGAACTTGGTTGAGTTCAATGCCAAAAAAACTCAGGCTTGCGCTTTCACGGCAAAAACATCGTCATTCCTTCCCCTTCCATCTCTTCAGGGCACAACACTACCGCTGCAGAGCAACATTTCCATGCTCGGTATGGAAGTTCGCTCAGACCTGAATCGGCGACCTGAAAAACGCAAGTGCGGTCCTGCGTGGAATATTGCTCGCACCTCTGGGATGGCTCCGCCAAGTACTTGCTCGATGCTTTGGATAGGTTACAGCGACGCGCGATCCGCATCATAGGCGATGAGGAGGTGACTAAACACCTTGAGCCTCTTCAATTACGCCGTGACGTGGCGTCACTAAGCGCGTTCTATCGTCTGTACCACGGCGAGTGTTCTGAGGAGTTATTCTCTCTTATCCCACCTTCTCCTTTCCTTCAGAGGACCACGCGCGCTGGCCTACGTTGTCATCGTCTAACTGTGGCCACAATTCCAACGCGTACGAAGAAATTTGGTGACTCATTTCTTTGTCGCACTATCCGTAAATGGAATGCTCTGCCCGCTCACGTGTTCCCTCCCTCTTACAACCTGGGATCCTTTAAAAGAGGCGTGAAGAAGCAACATGCAGGCCGGCAGGGTGAAGATGGCTGGTGTGGCAGGTAAAACTGCTGTATCAGCTATCGTCACGTCTGGACTTCGCCTTCACTTAACATCAGGTGGGGTGGAGTCATTTGTCGGACCTATCTATAAAATAAAAAAAAAAATGGTAATGTACATCATATTTTTTTTTTAGTTTTATCATTCTCTTATTTTAGAAGTTACAGGCGGGGGACACACATTTTACCACTTTGAAGTGTTTCTCGCGCAAACTTTAAAATATATAAGTAACCTCAATATTATTTTTAAAGCCTACCCATAGATACACGTAAGGTATGGGATCGATGAAAAAAAAATTGAGTTTCAGTTGTAAGTATGGGGACTCCACAAAATTTATTATTGATGTGTAACATCTTTCCTCTCGCTTTCCTGCAATTTGTGGGAGTCATTTCGTGAAATGGGACGGAAG